AGTTTAAAGGGCATGCCCCAGGATCGCACTGGTGTGGCTCTTGCACACGAATGTGAATGTATCGGTGCCAAGTGGGCCGGCAGTGAAGAAAAAAGGAAAAGAATCCGTCGAAAACGCTCAGGTTGAGGGCTCACTCACCTTCCTAATTGGCTGTGCTAAAGGAACGAGAGACTAAGCGCGAAGAGGAGAGTATGGGGCGAGAGAGCGCATCAGATGAGAGAGCACCAGACAACGGCCTGATAAGAGAGCTCGTTCGCTGCAGCTCGAGCAGCTTACTTTGCAAGCCCAAGCGTTCTTGTCGGTCGAATTCCGTGCACGTGAACGCCACATTTGTGATTGTCCCCTAGGGTTCTATACTTCTGACCGAAGAAGAAGCGTTCACACGACCTCTGCCTGGGTTGTGCCTTTAATGGTTGAGTGTTCATCAAAATCACCGAGAAGGGCCAAGTGACATATTCATTTGAAAGGAAAATAGAAGAAATAGAGACTTGATCGGAATTCCGATGAGGGCCGAACAGCAGGCGGCACTAAAAGATTAGAAAACCTAGAAAAGACCCTGCAGTGGGTCGTGGCCAGCCTCGAAAAATAAACGCAAGCCACAATTGCTCACCTGTGTTTCGGTGAACTGCGCCTGACCACCAGTCGACCTCGATGGCTACCGGGCATTCCCTGAGCATGATCGACAAGTTGTGTATGAGGTACAGCTCGAACATTTCGCCCATCCAGCTCAACGATTGTATCACCTCGAGAAGGTTCGCACATTGTTCCGGATACAGGATCTTTTTCACTCGTTGACCCTGAATGAGGAAACATCAGATATTCTGAGGAGTCAGAAGCACGCATTATAATCCCTGGTTGCTGTTCGAGTTTGCCATAGCCTGGTAAGGGTTGGTTATCACGTCAAAATGGCGAAGGGAAGTGATAGGATCCAGAGCACAGTACTAAACCAGAGAGGTCTTCCAGGAAATGCCAGCTTTCTCGAAACGGTTTTTTGCATGATATAGAGGTACGTGCATGGAACACAGAACTGTGGTTCATTTTTCCTGAGCGACCCTCTGAATACCAAAAAAGGAAAGAAAAATTTCTTAAGGAACTGCCGTTCTTAACTTTCTTCACCAGTTTTTTAGCCAAAGTCTACGTATAAAGGTTGCTGATGGTCCTAATTATAGATATGACATAAGTTGTTTACGCTGACGCTATTTTTCGCGAATTTTGAAACGCCAACACAAAATGCAAAAAATTGTCACTGCGAGGATTCGAACCACGGACCACTTCATCACCCCTTTTTTGGTATTCAGAGGGCCGCTCAGGAAAAATGAACTACAGTTCGTGTTCCATGCACGTACCCCTCCCTATATCATGCAAAAAACCGTTTCGAGAAAGCTGGGCATTTCCTGAAAGACCTTCCTCGTAAGGCTTGCAGAAGTCCCTTTCATCCTGAGTAGGCGATTCAAAGAAGAAAAGAGAGGGCGAAAGCGTCCAAATTCACAGTCACATTTGAAAATGAAGAAAGAAGGTAATGAAAATAGAGAGTCTCTAGAATAGAAGTGTTGCTGTGAAACTCCTCTAGAACATTGCAAAAATGGCAGCATTGCAAAAAAGTAGCAACCGATTTGTTTTTTTTAAGGACTGAAGAGTAAATTTTTGAACTCAGGGGTTAGGATTCAGACTTTTGAGCGTGTTGATGCGCACGATACGAGTGATCTTGTTTCATATGTAAATCAACGTACCGTAGCACTGTCAGCGATTGTGAACCCGAATCCTTCCGATCCTTTGATGATTTCGATTTCGTGTAAATCCCGACTTCTGCCACCCGTTTGATAAACGTTTTCGGTGATTATCTGAACAACTCAAAATATTCGTAAATACTGAACGAGGAACATAACAAGAGATACTCACCCTATTCGACGGGTCCAACATGAGCGGATAACCGCGACACACTTGTATGGCAACCGGATCGCCAACAGGGATGTTGACGAAAATTCGACAGGCATCCGACTGAGATGCTCCAAGCAATAATTCGCCATTCACTCTTACCAGCACATCACCTGGTTGCAGAACTCCATCTTCAGCCGCCAAGCCTCCTGGCAGCACCGATTTCACCTACAACCGTGGAATAAGCAGATTATCGCTGGGGCTTTTGACAACTGAATCATGTCAAATGTAAATGTCTGCAAAGAAATTTAATCCACTTGGATGCTGTACGGCCAAGGCGGCTATACGAGCTGCAATCTCAAAATTTTACATTAATATTGCTGGCAAGAAAATTTAAAGCTTGGAAGGAGATATCGGATATCATCGGATGGAACCTAAAAAGTCCTTAAGTTTACTGCACAGTGAAATCCTTCATACAGTTCAAATCCGTCCCTCTGTCCGTAAAAAGACCCCTAAGACCGTAAAAAGGCGAAGAAGTATTCATTAGTGTTTGCTTTCGGCCTTTCCATGAAAAAACCCCTGGTAACACGCTGGCGGGCTGAACGCCTTATGCT